TTAAGCTCTGATTTATATTTGCTAATAATTAGATCTTCATTTTCTGTTTTAATGTATATTATACCAAGGAAAGCCGAAGAAAATATCATCATTATTGTAGAAAAACATATCAAAGGAATACAAGCACTATAAATTATAGATTTGAAAATTATCATGTCGTTAAAATAGCTTTTAGCAAGTGCTATTGAAAATCCAAGACAAATACTTGTGACTGAAACTTGAGTTATAAATAACGAAATGTTCAAGGCTGCCATTCCAGTTGCAGCAAAAGAATTTTGCCTCAAAGATATATCATAAGACTTTTTAACTGATTCGATGTACCCCTCACCATGTACTGCTATGTATGGAAGAGTTAAAGCATTTATAAACTCTATTATATCTTCTAAAGCACTTAGTAATACAGTCAAAAAATTTTTAAAGAAACCATTTAAATTGTTTCTATCCCTGTTGTTTGATCTTCTGTCCTTTTCTTGATCTACAAAAAATCTCAATGTTGATACCACTGCAACCATTAGACCAGCAAAGCATATACTACCCAATGCATACATTGTATTTTTTATCACTGGTGACATTTTTGAATGTTCTCCAAATTCTACCAAATTGTATGATACAACAGATGTTATATAAACTTTAAAAAAATATATAGCGTTGCTAAGAGTCCAAAAAAGATTAAGAATATAAAAAAAAGTAAAAAGATTTTCCTGCATTTTTGAATGATGTAATGATAACTTGGTTCTTAATTGTGTCATCAAAAAAATTTGTAGAATTATTAGTGAAAGGCACATAATATTTCCTAATAAAGTAGTAAAAAAATTTGACAGCATAATTTTGACACCAACACACATTGTCTTAGCCATTACGCCAGAGTAAACCCAATTTCTATATACAAACACTGCCCAAAGAAATATAGCAAATAATGAATAAAATAATGATATTGCATGGAACTCAAAAAAAAACAATGTAGCAATCAAAACTAAAGGAAATGTACAAACCGTTGCCTTTAAGAAAAAAACTGGAACAAATCGAAACCCTACAAAATTAAGAGTTATCGCCACAAGCACAACAATAGAGCAAAATAAAGTATTCTTAATAACTGGCTCAGCAAAAGACAAATCCAATGAGAAGCTTTTCTCTTTGACAATTGCATAAGTAGAAAATCCTAAGAATGATATTGCATATAGTATAAGTGCCCACGAATCATGAAATTTTCTAGATTTTGATATGTAATTTGAAGTTTCTTGTGTTACATTCATAACCCTTTTTTATTAATTTTTATTTATAATTATTTCTTTTACAAGCAAATAATAAAAAAATAAATTTAAAATTTAGTAAAGCTTATAAATTTAAAAAATCAAAATTAAAATATTTATGATTTGATAAAGCTATTTACTTTATTAGTAAACCCATTTTAATATATTTATTGACAAAAGTAAAATTTGATATGAAGTTTAATATAATAACACGCAATTAAAGGAAATCTTAAAAATCATCATCATCTTCTATATATATTAAAAAGTTTGAATCTTAACATTTTTTTATTTTTAAACCCTTCTTTTTTAAATTTTGGAAAACGATTTTTTAAATAAATAACAATCTTTAATAGTTAATTATATTTTATAAAGCTTAATTTTTCTAATTGTTTTTTCTTTAGTTTCATTCAATTATTTAAATAGTAAATTACGCGCCATTGTCATTTTATAATTAAAATGTGCAATGTTCAGTACATAAACAATACATACATGCACAAAGACATAACACATAATTTAAACAAAGAAAGCAAATATTGAATTTGTGTCCCGTTTTAAACAGGATAGCTCAAGCTATTAAACTATAAATTTTTTGTTAATTTTAATGTTTACCCTTCTTGTAAGTAAAAAACGTGAAATTTTGAAAATTTATAAAAAAATTTGAGATTAGGTGTTTTTTGTGACCCGCAAAGAAACAATTTTTAAATAATTTAATAAAAGAAATAAAAAAATCTGTTCAGATTCGCTTTAAAAATAAATTCTTTAAAAAATTGCTTCGCTGTTAATCAGATAATCCTTTCATACTTTTAATTTAAGTCGATTATTATAAGATTCTACGTTCTGAGTATGTGTACCGTCTACGGGGGATACAAAATTATACTTATAACATACGGTTTTATCCTCAAAATCAGAACTATTAGAAAAAGCAAGATATTCTCTCCACTCGCCAGAAAAAACTGTACTTGCTGTAACAATTACTTCTGAAAAAATTCTCAATAGAGTATTTGACGTCCTGTCATCAACCAAAGTAACGTATCTCAAGGCTGACTTGTAGGATGTATCTACAATACAAAATGCCCAATTCGGCATAACATGACGTCCTCTATAATTTTTTACATTATAATACATTTTTGTTTCGTCAACCTGGACTTTGATACCTGAGCCCCCGAGCCGTACAGCATTATTAACAAAATGCTTTTTAATTCCATCTTTTTTTTATTTCTTAAATTTTATTTAAAATTTTCTTTTTTATTTCAGTAAGCTGTGAGATTTTAAGTGGTTGTAAGCCCATATATATATAATAAATTGATTCTAAAATAAGTTGATATTCAATTTTGAAATTAGCAAACATATAATTGTATCTAAAACTTGCAGATGTTTGGTATTTTGTACGGTGGAAATTCATACATCTCCATTTAAGTTTATCTATTCGCATGTTACTTGCTTTTAATTTCATAGCAACACCACAAAAAGTGCAGATTCGCATATCGGGTATCAATTGCCATTAAATAGCTGTCGTACCCTTAGGGAACGATACCAAACTTTAAGTAATTTTCTAAAACACTTTAAATTTTAAAACCTTTATTATAAGACCGTTTGTCTATAAACTGGTCATAAAGAGATTTTTTTATTCCTTCCTTTTTATTCATTCTTATTGGGGTTTAAAAATATAAATATTTATAAGAATAAATTATTAAAAAAAATATTAGGCATGTAGTAAGAATAGTACAATAGCATAGATAAAAACTAAAATTTTCAAGCTCTTTCAATTTTTCTAAAAAATTTGCTTGTCGTTCATATAAGGATCAATTTTTTTTTTTTAAAGAAAAAATAACAGGTTTCTTTTATGACACGATGGATCACAAAAGAAACTTGACCCCAAATTTGTTTACTCTAAATTATGCGAATACTATAATTTAGAAAATTATTTGTGAAGAAGGAGAATTGGTAAAATTTTATCTGGAACGAGGCATTGTGCAAGTTCTAACGTACAACAAATGCAATAAACCCATGTCAAAAGTCAGTTTAACTTTTTAAAAATATAAATGTTATTTATGCTGTAATCTAAGGAAGTGTTCTTTAAGCACAAAAATGTAAAACATTTTCCCGCCCCAAATTTCAAATAATTCTTTTGCTTTCATCTATTAAAAACGTGCATCGATGAGTTTTAAACTTGTTTGTAAGGATGAAGGTAAAGAAATAACTGAATGCTTAATGGCAAATAAATTAATAAATTGCAAAATATCATTTAAAAAAAGTTTGAAACGAAAACATGTAATATTTAAATATATTAATTGAATTTTTATTTATTTTTGTAAAATCTTTCACATTTTAAAAATTTAAATTTTTTAATGAAATTAAGAAAGTGGAATTTTCTAGAATTTTTTTTAATATTTAAATAAATTTTACCCTTCACGAAAGGAGATGCATCCTGTATGAACTATACCAACGAAAGTCATAATAAAAGAAATAAATCACTTAAGTATAGTAGACAAGGCCAGCAAGAGCCTATTTTTAAAAACATTCTAGAATATTATTTTTAGAACGGAACATTCCGCATTAAATACGTCAATTTTAAAAAAATAACTTGTATTATTGTGCCCAGTGGGCGAAATAATACAAAAGGTGCTTTTAAGGCACAAAATTACAACTGATTTGTTCTTTGACTAAAAAGGAGCATTTTTAAAAAGACGCAACTAAGTTTTAAAGCCATATTAATTCTACTATGCAAGTGGGTAGCGAGGAATTTCACTTAGTACTTGTGTGGCCGAGCTTAATATTCACATGAGCATCGCCTCTAGATAGTATTTTCGTTCAAATAATGCTGTGGCTGACTGGATTTAAAATAATTTTGAGCCTAGTCAATAGGAGACAAGGAATGTATAGCTGAAATCGACGAAACAGATTTTGTTAAATGTAAATATCGGCGAAGTTGCCTCTTATATCAAGTACGGCCGTTCGGTGTGTAACTAGAGGAAAGGCAAGTAATTTGTTTTGAGATATTAGAAGATAGATAAAGGTGTACTTTGGTGGAACTTATTAGGAGAAAGTGGCGCCAGAATATGCCGTTATTAACGATTGCTAGCAGAATTATCTTGATTTATTTAATATTTGCGTTGATTTGGGGGCTACTCATGAGACGATGAACCATTATTTTTAATTTTGTAGATAACGTTTTTAATGCACATACTCAGACTATGAAAGGAATGCGATCAGTAATCAAGAGAGTACTAAGAAAAGAGGTAAAAGCCCACAGCACTTTAATGAATCTGGTGCATAAAATTTACATACGCCGTTTTAAACTACTACATAGAAAAAATCTATTTGAAAAGATGCTTGTTTTTCTAAAATCTGATAATATTGCTCAATTAACGAGTCAAAATTTAAATGAAAGTAACCGTGACAACCCTGTAAACGATGAGAAATTATAATATATATTCTTTGCCTGTTTTTGTATTTTTATAAATTCGTGAAATTTTACGTTTTTTTACTGGGGTGATGGCGTAAACATGCAAAGTAACCGATTTTATTTAATAAAAATTTATAATTTTTAGGCCGAAGTGTAACATTAATAATATAAATACTAACTTTATATAAAAAGTCAAAAGTTAAACATTTGAAAATTTATCAAAAATTATCAATCTTCATGGAAGCTTTTATAGTTAAGGCCCCATTATTTAAATACATAGATTAATAAAATTTTTAACTTTGATATTTTAAACTGCAGAGTAAAGAAAATTTTGTGGTATCATACCACACTTGCTTATAATTTAAAATAATAAATATTCTATTTTTAATGATACATCAAAAATTTTGATATTAGAGTATTTGATAAAAATTTATTTTTTAATTAAAATAAATATAAGAAAAAAATTTAAAAAGAAAGGCATTCATGGATAAAAATCATTTAACTTAAAAAGTAATTTTTAACCTGATGGCAACAAGGCCAATGACCATGGCGTGATAAAACAATGATGCCTCTAACTTCTAGCATTCTGGAAAAATTTTTTAAATTTGGTTCCCTTCCATGAGGGTATATTAAATCTATAAAAAATTTATGAAGTTATATAAAACATCTTTTGAAAAAGTTTTGTGGCAACTGTATAAAAGATGTTAAATTACTTGTATGTAAACAATTAAAGTTTGTTGCAAAGATAAAAAATGTGGTACTGAAAGAAATTTGCTTAGTAATACTGCTTTTAAAGGACGGAAGATCGATTGTTTTTTAATCTAAAAGTTTTTAATTTATAGATGGAAAAGCCTTATCCATTATATATTTCTAAAATTTTAGATATAGGGTCCTTTCTGATAAAAAATATCTTAAAAATAGTATATCAAAAAAAGCTGTATTTTAAATACTTACAGAAAAAAGATAATTATTAAGATCGACCAGATACAATTATAGAACTTAACGAAAGTAAATTTGGGAATCGTAAATATTACAGAGGATATGTAGTCTGTGGTGTTTTGGATTCTGTAATGGTTAAAAGAACCACTAATCGTATAACCGTTTAATTTACTGTTCCAAATAAATCCTCTTTATTACTGTATAAATTAATTTTTAAATTTTCAAATAAAGAATTTATTATTAATTAAGATTATTGAAAGGGATATAGTAAACTTGAAACCTTTTTGAAAAAGTATATGACGATAAATCTCAGTTTTTCTTTATGGATTTAATAACATCTGTAAAGTAGTGGCAAAAAAAAAAATATTTAATTTTGCAATTAAAAATTTTATAACATAAAAGGTTGTTGCCATTTTAAAAGAAGCTACAAAGATTTATAACTGTTTAAGTAGTTTATTTTGTTTATTACGCTAACACAATGCTTTAATTGGTTAAATAAAAAATAATGTGGCAAAAAAAAAGAAATATTTTTATTTAAAATTTAGTATGTTCACCTTTCACTCTTAATAATTCATTGCATCTACTGTTCATGCTCTTTACCAACTTTTTACACGCATCTA